GAATGATGATGAGCTCTCGATGAAAGAAGGAGACTGCATGACAATCCTGCGCCGGGAAGATGAAGATGAAATTGAGTGGTGGTGGGCACGGCTGAATGACAAGGAAGGATATGTTCCCCGCAACCTGCTAGGGGTGAGTCCTTGTTATTTCCAGTTAAAAAACCCAGCCCACTATGTGGAATTTACACAGCATGATTCTCACGCATCCAGGTTAGGGGCAATTTCAAAGTCAAGAGGAAGGAGCTGGTGTTCTCCATTTATGCATTTGGGCATGGCAGAGTGGGTTAACACCCTATGTTAGGTACCTAACACATTATATTAATGAATGTGAAAACGGAAAACATGTATCACCACCCTGCTATAGATAGCATGTTCTAATACCAACCCTGTCTCACCGTCTTAAAGGAAAAAAGAAAAGCTTTTATCTGAATATATGCATATGGTTTTGTTGAGCAAGTGAATAGAACTGCATTTCCCCTCTTTCAGAAAGTGATACACTGGCACAAAGGGAACTTGTATGAAGAATGAGTCACGAGTCCTTCCCTGTCTGGGTTTATACAGGGCACCTTGTGGTCTGAAATGGTTTCACAAAGAGCTTTAAGATAAACATTGCAAAATTCTATGGTTATCTTCTTTCCTAGTGTTGAAAAAGAGCTCATCTTGTCAAATAAAGGCAGATCTTTTTCTCTTATGCTCTTTAAGTAATATTTAATCATATGTCAAAGGCCTTAAACGAACTGCCTCTCGTCCTCACCTTCTGTACTACCTCTTTTCTTAAACATAATTGTGTACTTCCAATAATAGATACTTCCAACTATGTCCCCATATTTCACCTTATGGTTGAGTTCCTAGAAAACTATAGCAGATGTATAAAAATTTCCATAAAGCTTTTTTCTGCATATCCAGTTTCCTTGCTGCTGGATATAAGAGGTTCTGCCAACACTAAAGATTAATGACTGTGAATTTTAGCTGATTGTTGTATGATGCTTTAGAGAGGCTGAACCACCTTCCTCACGCAGATAATCCTTACTCTTAAACTGGTTAAATTTTGCAGAGTAACTGTATGTACTGCAAAATCAGTTTTCATTTCTGTATCACTCTTTCAGGTCAGGCCTACCTACGATGTACTGTAAAATTCTCCCTAACGTGGTATTTCTACTCAGGTTTTTTTTCCTCTCCAAACATTTCTAAATCAAGAGCAGCAATGAGCCCTGCACAATAAGGTCAGAAAGGTTAGAGATAGCAGATTCTTTTGTTTGTTTGCTTTTTATTTCCCCTGCTCAAGGTTTGTGTGTTACTTCTTCATAAAGTCACTCAGCCTGAGCACAGGTAGGAGCATCCATATTTCTATAATAAAAAGCTTGGACTGGGGAACACAACTCATTGTTCTAAGCACAACCCAATCTGAACAGAACCTTTGGGGAAAACTATCCAAGCCCAGTGTTAACTGTTACACTAGTGTCTATTGGGTCATTCTGGCACTGCTACCAAAGTATTCTGTAGTTATTCTCAAAATCAATTACTGGACTCCTAATATAGCAGCTGAAATCTAGGCTAAGATGTTCAGCACAGAGAAAAATGTTTGCTAGTTAAATATATTCTTATATTAAGCTGTATTTTTATCATAACTGCCTTATCCTTTTGCAGTTAGGTGCACTGAATGAAGACAAGGATTGCATTATCTGCATCAGTGCTCTACCCTTCTTAGTGACTCACTAGCTCCCTAAGCTGTAGGAGAGCTCTAGAGAGAGCTCTAGAACTGAATGCAAATAAGATAATACTGTCAATATACTGACTTAATAACCAGTCAGGTGTTATGCTGTTGTATAACTGAAGTGTGACTGACTGACTTCATCTTTGCTAGTGGTGAAATCGTAGCAGGCTGAGACAAATCTTGTGGATGAAACTGTTGGTTCTTTTCTTAATTGCTAGATGACTATGAAGAAAGCCAGAGTCTGGTTGAAGAGAGAAGAGGGCATCTTTAAGGAGAACTTTAGCTGAAAAAACCCCAGGATGCAGTGTAGACATACACTGCTGTTTAGAGCATGGCATATTCATCTTTCTTGATTTTATGAAATGTATCCTTCTGTTTTTATATGCCAGTGGCTGTGCTTTTCAGAACAGTAGTTGATCCCAAAGCCCTTTGCATCTGAGGGCCAAGAGCTTCCCAAGCATCTCAGCACTGCTCTGTTGAACTATGTCCCCTCAGCTGTCACCCTGTGGCCAAGGCAGTCTCTGTACTGCTGTGTGCACAGCCAGAAGGAGTAAATAGCACATAGCTCAAGGGCTGCAGCATGACATGTCCTGATTGATTTTTGGACAGCTAAATGAATTTAACTGGCCACCCACTATGCACCAGCTAAAGCACAGCTCTTGCAGTTCCATGGTCTTTATGCAGGCAGGTGTTTGCAGCTTGCCCAAAGCTATAGATGCGTAAAGGCTGATAGGTATTGAGATAAAGGAAGCAAAACAGGCTTTAATACCTCTCTTTCCATTTATGAAACAGGGAAAAATCTTGTAGTTCACTGAACACAAGTGTCTCTTGACTTACAAAGCCACATGCTTTTCCTAGCCCACCCATCTGAGTAGAGCTGAAGGTACTGAATTACATGGTGTTCCATACCTTCTTTTTGTACTGACAATGCTTAGTCTTTTTTAAGGTTGCCTAAAATGTTAAATTTGTATTTGTTAGTGCTCTGGGTGTTTTTTATAACCATGCTTTTTCTACTAGAGGTTACATTAGAATTGTAGCACAAGCGAGGTTTTTCTTTCCCTTTTTTATTATTAAAAGTAAGTAATCTTTTAAAGCACTAAAATTGTAAATCTCATTTCTGTTTTACCCTCAGCTGTATCCAAGGATTAAACCTAGACAAAGAAGCTTGGCATGAACTAGTACAGAAGCCAAATTCTTGAAGTACTAATCATGGATGACTTACAAAAAAGATCATTTTGTGTTGGTTCCAATATCATGAGACTTATTTCAATGGCAATGTAATTTGAAAGCTATGAAGAATGTGCTTTGAAAACAAATGAAGGATTGATGCATTAGCAAATGGATGAGGGCATTCTACAAGATGAAATAATGCATACAAGCAAATGACATTCTGCTGCCTTTGGCCTAAGCAAGCCATTATGTTCAAGTACCCACTCTGATTTCCTCAGACATGGCAGGAAAGAATTTCACATTTTTCTTCTTTAAATACAAGGACCTTTTCAATTTACCGTTGAAGGAATCATCGTGAAATGGACAACTTGGCTTTGTCCAAATTTATCCTGCAGCTTTTTCCAGATGGGAGAAATTAAAGTAAGTATGTGCACAGCACCCAAATGCTTATTGCTGAAAACAGAATGTTAGCTAAACGCAAGTGCATCTGAACAGTGAGAGCCATGCGACCAATCCATTAAGCAATAACTTCTAAAAATACTGTAGCATCGTAGGAATTCCGTGTATTCAAAATATTACGTGCTGTAACAGACAGTGTAGTTTTAGATTCCTCTTTTTACAGAGAGCCTCATGTATTTATTGTATTTTGTACTTCGAAAACTAAGTGTAGAAACTTTCTGTAGTCTTGATAACTTGTTTTTACTTGACTGTGATACCATTAAACTTTTGTCTTCTTAAGCTTTAACTCCAGGTATTTTAGTGTCAAGTTTTTATTAGACCATCTGAAACTGTTACCAGTAAGATGTGCTGCTGTTCTTCATCACACTAACATTCACCTACTTTCTGTATTAAAATGAACCCCTCCTCCCCCATTTGTTAAGACAGTCTTTCTGCATTTAAAATTAAGCTGAATCTGTTAGTTGCATATAACCTTTGTTAATCTTAAAAGCTTAAGGGACAGACTTAAAAAACCTTGGTACAAGTATTTTCCAAATAAAGCCTTTCCCATGGAACTACCCTTTATTTATAATCATTTGATAATAAACACTGTTTAACAGAGGATCAAATATTTCTTTAAGGATATTTATGAAGTACTTCACTGCTTCTCCCTTTAGGCTCATGTTTTCCTACTAGGTAAAGCCTTTCTGATTTCTGGAAAGGTACCTATAAATACAAGAATCTTCTGTAGGAAGGATGATGCAATTCCTCACAGCCTCATGATTTAATAGGTCAGGTATGGAGTACATAGTATCAATTACCTTTCTTGGAAACCTTTAAAATATTAATGCTTGAAAAACTAAAGTATCAGGCTATCTGACATTCCATTAACTGACACATGTCCAGAGTGTGTGTCAGTGCCTCATCAGCTTCAGAATGCTGTTTTATCCCATGAAAAGGCAACAAAAGCTCTGCATCTATCATCTGATCTGTAAGAAGTGTTTATTTTCCAAAGGAAGAGCAGTCTTGCAAGCTTTATTTCTACTGTTTTTATTTAAATACTTTCTTGTATTGCAAAGGAAGATAAATAAGATACAGGAACTCAAGATTCCACCTGAGAGCATGGGCTTTCTCTTGGAAGAGTCTGGTTGCAAACAGCTTCCTGCTTCAGGCACATAAATGGTCAGGAGGGAAAGACTTGTCCTTCAGATTGATCAAACATACTTGCTACTCAAATTCCTCAAAGAATATTTAACCAGAATAATGCTGAGCTTGAACAGAAAGTATACAAGAAATCTCTATCTTCCCTAAACACCTGTAGTCAGATGTGCAATGCTTTCCCTTTTCTAGTTTTAGATATGCAGGAATGGAGCTATTGTTCAAAAAACACTTCTTAAACCAGACTGTCAAGCTATTTTCCTGAAGTCATGTAGAACACCTTAAGTACAAAGATACTAGCAAAGCACTGAATTGAAGTTTTTGTGCAGAGGCTATATAGTAGTAAAAACTGACAAGCCCTTAAAAATGAGGTTGCACATACTTCTGTTGAGCACTTTTGTTCCTATAAGCATGTGCAGAATTTGCCTGTATAAGTTAAGGCACATTCACCTTAGGTTAGTACTTGTATCTTTGCTCAGTTATCTTCACCTGATGCTCTTTTTGAGATCTCTTGAGCTGATCAAATGACAGTAAAGCACAGCCACTGTAACAAGAGAGGAAAATGTCTCAGGGTTAAGTTTAGTAAAAATACCTGCAGCAAGTGTGCATATTCCCATTGCTGGCATGAGGAAAAAAGTCTGTTCTTACCAAAGTCATTTTAGGATCTTTCCTGAATGATTTAAGTTTATACCTCATTTAAGTCAGAAGAGTTTTGGGATGATTTGCACATTCCTGTTTTAGGTCTAGAAATGAGTTATGTTTGGGTAATAAGTGAGTCAAAGAAAGACATGCAGGAAAGTATATTTCTCCAAACTTAGTCCTTGCTCCAGGACAGAGATGGTCACTACTGCACCTGCATTTTACTCTGCTGCTGATAGAAAAGGCAGGGAAGAAACCTCCCTACACATCAGCCAGGATCACTGCCAGAAAGGGATGAGTGGCTTCAGGTTCAAGTTGGTTTGTTAGAGAAGACAATGTGATATTGGTACATTTTAAAATGGGTAACCTTTCATGAGGCTGATTACAAATACACAAGCTATAGAAATCCAGCATATACATGCATACAAATGATCAGTTAGAATGGAGCAGGACAGTCTACTTCTAATAGCCTTCCCCACCCAAAAAAAGCTGAGACCAGTTTAGAGCTAAATGAACTTACATTAACAAGGTTCAATTCTATAGTTCTAGTTTTCTCGGTGTCCAGCTTTCTAAACATTTCTGTGGCAGAAGAGAGATGACAGACAGGGATGAATATAGGAACCAACTAGAAAGCCTGCCCCATGCTTGTGCTTCAGGATCAAAAAGGAATTTAGTCCCAGAGTCTAAACTCTGACAACAGTCTACACCCCAAACCAGAAAGGTCCACATTAAAGTCATTGCCTGCTCATGTGCAAGAATGAGACTGAGCGCTTTTAATAGCTCAGTCTGTAGTATTAACATTATTAGTCAAACTGTAAGTGTTTAGATCTTTTTTAAAGCTAAAATTTAGTTGTTTGCATGGAAGACCATCTGGCTCCAGTTCAGCAGTCTGGCCTCTAAAAAGCTTATTCCTAGATCTAGGAGGACCATGCACACTGGGTTATTGGATTTACAGCTCAGCCTTGAAGGTGCCTTGGTTCCAGTAGAAAGTTTTCTGAATAACTTATCCTGGACTTGAAAACACAAAGCAACAGTGTCTGTCTAGTGATGAAGCACGTACTCACTGAACAATGTTTCCAGCTGAATCAAACACCAGACAAAGTTATCAAAGTCAATGATGAGGTCTTCATCAGCAAAATGAGCCACGATGATTTGATGTAACTGGCAGTTCACTTTGAACCCTAAAAATACAATGTTGAAGATATAAAAAGAAGAAGATGCAAAAAGCTCTCCCCATCAATGCCCCAACCTTACTGTCAGAAATTAAATTAGCTACTTTTGGTTAAATTCTCAAATTTTGAGAGTATTGACTCCACTTGGGAAATTCCCAACAACCCCTTCTGTACTGGGAGTGATTTAGAGCTGTGACCAAGTGATGTGTATTGTTCTTGCTGCCTGTGCTCCCCCATCTGTACGCCTGTTTCCCAGGGGACACGGCCAGTTGCTCCAGCTTACGGTCTTTCCCTGGGTGATGAGGTGGCTGCCAGAATCAGCCTACAGAGTCCAGATGAAGCATTGGCTTTCTGTGGGCAAATGGGTCTCTATTTCCAAAGAGTATGTCAATTTTTGCACAAAAAGGTGTGCTGCCTCATCTTACCTCGTGACAAGAGGGAAAAGCTCCAGAGAGCCCAAACATGGATGTTAAGATTGCACCAGATCAGAAAGTTAATTTGGGATCATACGGCTTTGTGGTACCCTCTCTCTCTTTGCTCACCATTGTAACTCACATTTGCTCTTCAGTGGTTGCAGCAGCGAACTGACTCTTTATGATGATGCTCTTGTGAGCATCACCCCTTGGTCAAGCCATTTCCGTTCTCTAGGTCACAGTATCCTGGTTTAACAGGCTTATGCCAAGCACCCATACACCCAGAGAGACTCACAGAAAGACAGCAGTTTGCTGTTACAAGACCAGATTGTTTCAGTTATTTGTGCTTCTCCAAAAGCTGGTCACTGAAGGCAATAACTGCAAACCTGTCACTCCTTTGAGATGCTTTTAGTGGGCCTGCGTGGCAAGACACTGCCACAGAAAGACAAGAGCCCAGGCCGAGCAGCTACGTTAACAGCAGCCTTCCAGGTCTGGGAATATAGCTTACAAGTGATACACGGGGAACTAATGAGCATCCATCAACCCAGCTTGAAATTGACAGAACCCTAAAAATAGACAGATCAGTATAGAGATACCTGCTGTTTCTAGTGCTCTCCTCATCTCATATGAATTCATGGTACCAGATCGATCCACATCAATTTCTCTGTAAATTTTCTGTGGAACACAAAACCCGAAGTCAAAACTTGAGAGTAATTCAGAGCATGGTTTGACTTTCATCGGAAGTTAAACATTTTGAAATACAGCCTGCATGTTACTGAGAAGTGTTTGCAACATTGGTCTGAAGGATGATATTTATCTCCCAGCTGTAGCTTTAGAAAGTCATTTTAACAAGCAGCCAGAGCAGATAAAAACTCCAGAGGACTCCTTGCACGCCTGTGCCAAATGGCACTATTCCCTACCAAAGCAGCAAGGCTGACACCAAACTCACACTGTTAAGCAGGAAGGGTATGTTTGACATACTTGGACCCAAGTTAAAACAGAAACCACTCAAGACTAAGGGAGGAAGGGAGTAGTCTCTCCTTCAGCCCTTCACCTGAAGGACAAGCAGTCACCCCCCAGGATTCCAAGGAACAAAACCTGGGGGACTGAGGACACGAATGCATGGTGAGCAGAAGGGGAGTCCCTGCTCTGGGAAGTGTAACTGTACACACTGTCAAGGCAAACCAGCCTACAGCCACCTCTACATCTGACTGCACCTTCTCCCAAAGAGGTTGCACCTTACCTGGTATCTCTGAATCTTCATCCAGAGAGTGTGGAACTCCTTCAGTCCCAGTTTGCCACTCCCGTCTTTCTTCTTGGAGTTAAGGGAGTCTTCTTTGGGGGGAAGGAAAAGGGGTCTCCCCTCCCTGTGCTGGCTTTACTTACACAGGCAGTTGTGACTTAATACTTTAAACAAAATAACTACAGTTAAAAAATGGATGCAGGTCCTCTCTGAAGGACTCATCCTGTTGAATGCACAATTGTTGTCTAGGATGTCTTCCTACATCACTAAGATGATTCATTTAAACTGTGATCAGTTCACAAGCTCCTTCTTCAGTACCTCTAGTTTTCCAATACATGTATTAAGCAGCCAAGATAACGCCATTTTGTTCAACACCTGCAGGTACAGGAGCACAACTCCTAAATCTGGATTATAAATAGGAAAAGCTACAACCAAGCCTGCTATTTGAACTTCCACAAGGAGCTAACAAAAGAACCTGGTCATGGCATCGCTCCCAAAACCCACTGAGGAGTCCCTATAGACTGCTGGATTTTACAGCAAATTACAGCAGACCATTGCTTTGTTTTGGTAATTTTCCCTTTTTCCAACTACGCAATCCAACACCCACTGCACAGAAACTGAACACAACTGTTCTTACTTGATCCTCCATCCCACACTTGTGCCCTTGCTCTTAGGGGAAACACAAGTCTCCACTTCCTGTATTTGCTTCCTGTATTTGCTTCTATTTGCTAAGTCCTCACAGCTTTATAATGCCCTTACCAACTCCAGACAAACAGCATAGCAGTGAAGTGCACCCAGGTGTCCATGTTCCAACTCTACAGCCAAGGCTATCCACACTGTGCTGAGAGCCAGGTGCCTTTTCCCAGCACAAACATCACTTTGTCCCCAGCGAAACGAGAACACACAACAGGGAAGACTTCAAAGCAGATCATCCTGTCTGATAAATGGGTTTTCCCTGCTGCCTGGGAGAATACATGTGCCATGGGCAGCAGTAATAGCAAGGGGAATGAGGGTGAAACCAGCTTCTTCACCTCAGGAGTCATTAGGACACCAGCATGGACCCGCCACTGCACAGGCAGCTCACCTGCTTTGAGCACAGGCAGAAGAATATCATCTAGGAATAGCCATAAAGGATACATCTAACAGGTCAACCATTATTTCGCATGTCTCAATACTGAAGCCATCAGATTTAATATCTTGGCCTGTAAAGAAAGAGCAAAAGACAGGATTATCATTGCATGCTGTACCACAGCACCCTCCTAAATAGCTCATATAAGCTCTATAGCCAGACTATACACATCAGCCCTTATTTGTTCTGTGTCATCAGTGGCTTCCTTTGCAACCAAAGAAGCTTTAGGGTGAATGTTAGCTGTGATGTTTTTCCAAGCAAACAGCCCAGTTAGTTTAGTCTGTAGGTGTGCTGCAGAAGCAGGAGATGGAGATAAGGCTTTCCTGCCCTCATTGTCTGCCTGCAAAGACAAGGATGGGCTTTTGAGGGGAGCATGGACTGCTGACCTATGGAGCTCAGTAGTAGGTAGCCTCATGCAAGGGAGGATCAAATCAAGCTTGAAAACCAGCAATACACCATTGCTAACTGGCTGGTGCACACAGACAAACCACACAGTCCTGGCTACCTGGCTAAGATATAAAGAGGCGCTTATTTCTTTAAGCATTTATTTCTCAAGCACTGTTCAATGGAAGGGAAAATAATGCGAAGCCAAGCTCTGAATCACTTCACAGAGAAAGAAGCCCAGAGTTTCAAAGTTCCTTCTCCTCCAGGTCACCCCAGACTCATTTGAATCCTGACTGGTTCAATACTAAAGTAGCAGTAATACCTCCTCTGGATCATTATAAAGCACTAATCAAATCCATCCATCTTCCTGGCAACCAATTCCCAGTAGCAGATGCTGGGATAAAAGGCACCCATATGCACCCTGCAGAGCACATGTCCTGTTAAGTACAGCTTCAGCCCCAGTGTTGCTGCAGCCCACTGCAGCAGCAGAGAGAGCATGTGGCTGTGGCCATATGGTCCCAAGCTGCAGGTCTGGGGCAGAGTCCAGGGCTTTGCTCTGCTCAGGTCAGTGTGTGTGCACTCTGTGCTCTCACAGCCATGCTGGAAGCCTGCTGCTGGCCAACTAAAGCTGTTACTGGAGGAAGGGGCTTAGGTTTTGCTATGATCTTATTCAAGATGTTGCGCCGTTCAAACGCCGAGATCTCTGCATCCTGCAGAAGAGAAAGAGCTTTTTCACTGTGAGCTGCAAGATACTCTCTCAGCAGCAGCCTCTGACTCCTTTGGGCGAGGTGGCCAAGTTCAAGCACCCCTTGGAGTTCATTTCCCTTGGATGGAAACGCAAGCCAGGGTTAAGCTCTCCCCACCTCCCACTCCCAGAAGCACCTTCAATTCCCAGGCGTTAGCACACTGAGCCCTCAGGCAGGCAAGAGCAGCCTGGAGAGAAGGGACAGGCCAGCCCTCATCCCATCCACCAAATGCTCTGCCCAAAGGACAGAATTAGGGACCCACAGAGATAAAGTCAAGCCTGAAGTTCAAAGAGAGCAAAGACTGTTTGCCAGGAGCACTCACAATCCCATTGTGTAAGCAGATAGGTAACTACACGCATCTTTGCATGTACCATTATGCACATGGTTGAGATCTGAGTCAGCACAAGGATTAAACTCCATCCTGGGGGAGGCATTTCTCTTACCCACTCACCCATGTTATACCAGTAAGATGTTAACAGAAGAACACTCACACTCCCTGCTAGCTGTCCGAAAAGCTTTTTAAAGCTGGGTTCGATGTCATCTTCACTGATCTCTGTCTACAAGAGAAGAAACAGAGAACATGGAAAGGAGGAAATCTGCCTGAGAAGGACTTAATGCATTTCCTTGCCCCTAGTAAAACATAATTTAAATGACAAAGTTGAAGGGACAGAGTACTTTTGCTTTGATCTAAATCAGTTTTATTTTCATTCATTCATTCAAAAGGCTGGCATTGCAAATACTGCAGGACTTCAGAATTTAGAATTCTTTGTTTTATTTATAAAAGCCCTACCAAATTCAGAACTTCGCTATTGCTACTACTGCTGTTGGACCTTGTGTCTTGATTTAAAGCAAAGAAAGCAAAATACAAGTTCTTATCTTGCGGTGGGGGGGAATCACACAGGGGAGAAGATGCATTAATAGGCAAAACACCCCCAGCTCCAGCAAGGCTAAACATATGGTGAGCCACTACTTATGAAAATAGTATCACATCAAACATACCCCTTATGGCTAAAGGGTGGATACCTGGAGAGCAAAGGGAACTAATTTCCTATGGCTCCTGTCACCTCTGCAGATAGTACCTGAGCCCTCTTCCCGGGAAGCCCAAGCTCACCACCCTGGATAAAGGACAACACTCATTTCCATTATTGCTTGTGATGTTCCTATCGATACTGAAAGGTCTGTTTCCAGAGTGGGACAGCAGTTCTTCATAATGCCTACAGAAAACCACTACCCTGCACAGAGAAGAGGCACTCCAACCGCACTTCTTAACCACAAAATCAAATGTTTTAAACTAAGATATACGTCTTCAAAATTGGCCTCAATTTCATCATCTATCACCCTGGAAAGATAAAGAAATCAGTATTAAAATCAAGTTCCTTTTCTGATGCTCTTCCTTCAAGTTTCAGGTTAGGAAAGAGATACATACGTGGAGTTGGCATTCTTCTCTGAGAAGACTCGCAGGCAGAAATCCCCATTCTGTTGGGTTCAAAGGTCGAGGGCACAGCAATATATTCTCCTGCAG